TTTCCATGGATGTCTTTTGATTTATGTATTTTGTTTTCAAGCATACTATAGTTAGCACATCCATTCCTTGTTTCAATCAAAAGTAAAAAAATGTTTGTGTATGGGGAACCCATCTTTCTCACTCTCCATTATTTGTTGATATTTCATATGTAAAACAAGAGCCAATAAAACTTAAGTTTCATTGTTCTAAAAGGAGCCTATTTTTTACCACTTTGCCTATTTAACTCAGCTCCTAGACAAAAACTTACCCAACATTTAACCTCCCTTCTTCTCCGTGGATTAATTTAAAATGGTTTTGACAAGTGGCATTATGTTTATAATTTTGGGAGAATTATAACCCTATCACGACAACCAAAGTTGTTGTAGAGATTATTAGAAAACTAATCATTTTTGAAGGGAAAACTATCTATGACAAATTTAGGATTTTTTTTATAAAAGCTTAGCAAAGATCCGATCAAATAGTAGCGTGGACCCCACAGGAGCACAACACCAATTTATACTGCAAAATAAATAGTTTACAGGATGTGACGTCCTTCCGTAGTGTTCCTCAGATCATGGGCACAAGCAGACCCTCAGTCTTTTTTTCCCCACCTTTTATTATGTTTTTTTTATGCCATAATAATCAGAAACAAAGTGCAGAGTCAAATGGCATGCATGTCTGATGCATTTTTTAATAAGAGACGTGACTCCGAGGCATTTTCTGTTTTCAGTCTTTTCTTCAGCTTATTATTTATATGTGCAGTGGTGGAGTCATGAATTATATATAGGGAGGGCAAGATAAAAAAAATCAACTTGCAAAAATCAAGCGTAGCTCAACTGATTAGGTTCCTCGTAGTGACCGTGTGAGTTAATTCATCGACTTGACACGGTTGCTCGTATTTTCTTATATATGTATTCTAGGATTTAAGGCGGTATTCTTTCAGTGGTAGACGACATACACGTTGACAGTAGGCTCTAAGATAATTTCGTAAATCTCGATATATACTGGCCTCGTATTTCAGATATTGAATGATTTTATTATCTAGTGCCTTTCAAATGTGCTCATATAGATTTTTTATTATAGTTGTGTTTTATATAATTAGTATCTAATATATATATATATATATATATATATATATATATGACAAATTTTTTGTTACATTCTCCCTCTTAATATAAATATAAAAATTATAAAGTTATACTAGTAAAAAGTCTTGGTGTGATATGTTAGGGGGGCATGTGCCCCTCTTGGCTCTGCCACTGGAAATATCCAAAGTAATCTGGTTGCACAGATTGTCATTGTCGTGGTAGTTGGCTATATCGTTGCTCTGATAACTCTTGTAGTGTGCACATGGTGGACGGCCCCTCCATAGACTTTGGGGGCACCGGAGATTGGATGAGCCTTTAGATGGAAGAAATATCTAAATAGGTCGAGGTGGGGATCGATTCCTAGGAAGGCTTCGCACATATCAGCAAAAATAGCGATTTGGGCGATTCTATTGGGATTCAAATGGACAAGTTGGATGTTGTAGAAGCGGAGAAGCGCATGTAGAAACTTTGAAGCGGGGAGACAAAGACCGCGCTGAATGAAAGAGGTTTTCCTCATTTTCAACCATGGCTGCCTTCATCAACCCTTTCAGGTTATCCAGCTCTTGCTTCATCAACTCTTGGTTGCCCTTTTCCTCTTTTGCTTCGTCTCTCTGATGGATATGGTAAGAGAAGTGCTTTGCTATGATCATTAAGTGTGATCATTACCCAACTCAGTGACCTGGTTCCCATAAGTGACAATCCCATCCTTGAATTACCCAACTCTATTTTAATGTAAATAAAACAATGACGCGGTGTTTTCTAGTCTGGAGTAAAAAATCTTGGTGTGATATGTTGAGGGGCATATGGCCCCTGCTAGCCTCCCTTGGCTCCGCTACCGTTTTTGCATAAAACTAGAAACTTTGCAGGGAACCAATCCATACCCTCCTTTGCTCGCATGAATTTTGCGCTCTTTTTCGGTACATCATATATAAAGATTCTTTAAATAAAAAATAAATAATTTTTGAATGAATTTCATATAGCAGTAATTGTTTTCAAGTGTATTATACCTAGCACATTCATTCCTAGTCTCAGTTAGAATTATAAGAGTCATACTTAATATTTGTGGAGAACTCCTTTATTTCTCGCTCCCCATTTTGTCTTTCATATAAAATAGTAGCCAACTAAAACTTGTGTTTCAGTGTCTAAGGATCCTCTATTTGACACCTTAGAGAAAAAACTTACTCAACATTTTAACCACACCTCTTCTCCCCCAGATTAATTTTAAGACGGTTTTGCCGCGCGGTATTTGCACTATTTTACAAGACTTACATCCTACCACTTTATAAGACAACCAAAGTTATCACCCCCGAAATGGAGAAACTAAACCATTCTTATAGGAGGGGAAACCCTATTACAGATTTAGGCAAATGTAGAAAAGCCACGAATAAGTGATTACATCCATGCCCTCCTTTTTTTCCTTGGGAATTTTGTGCTCTCTCTTTCTCTCTTTGTCAGGTACCGTCATATATTCTCCAAAGTTAAAAGAGACAGTTTTGGAGGAATTTCCTATCTGTTTCTTTTAAGATTATGAATTATAGCTACCACATCCATTCCATTCCATTTCTTGTTTCAAAAGCTTTCACCCGCACATAAAAAATGGGAAACAAACCATTCTTGAACGGGAAATAACTATTTATAACAAATTAGGCAAAAGTGAAATAACCCTTCTGATAGAAAAGCCACAAGTATAAGTGATAGCCATTATGGTTATCTTTTCAAAAAAGAAAAGGGAAAGGGAATATTCCAGGAGGAAAAAAAAAGGCTGGCAGGGGATCTCATGCTCGCTGCCATCTTTCATCATCAGAATTCAGAACAGCCGTGGCCTCAAAACAGATCCTTTGGGATCCTGGCCACATATTTTATTCTCCATCTGGGGCCTCTTCTTGCTCTGAAGTCTGAATTGAGCTGCTGGCTGTGGGCTGTGGCCTGAGAGCATTCTCAGACGAGAGGCAGGGAAGCCAGCAGCAGGACGCAGGGCTCCTTTTGGCATGACGGCTACGTAGTCTTTGGCTGCTGGATTGCTTGGAAATAAAGCAGAAATGACAAGTCACTGTGCGTTCTCATTTCTTGGCAGCTGATGACCACTAGTCATATGCTGCTTATTGATGTTGTAGTCTCCCTTTTTTCCAGGAAAAAGAGAAACTTTTTGTCAGCTATACAAAAATTGCCCATGAAAACTGAATACATATATCACCAAAGTTTATAGAACATTTGAAATGAATAGATAACAAGCTCCTCTAACTCTTGACTGTTTAAATTTTAATACAAAGATTTTGCTGAAACATGCAAAAAAAAAAGTTTAGCACACTACTGACATTTCTTTTCTCAAAAAGAAGGGCACGCAGTTCATTTTCATACGTCTTCCATTCATCTATGTACTACTATACTAGTACTAGTTGCGATGATCAATGTTGCCCAAGAAGACGCCCCACTTGGGCTCGGCGGCCTGCACGGCGCCGGCGCCGGCGGCGGGCACGTCGACGGTGACCTCCGCCTCGGCGGCCTTCCCGCCGCTGGCGATGGCCGGGACCCCGGCGCGCTCGACGACGGGCGCCGCCGTCGTGTCGCCGCCGCCGCCGAGGGAGAACGGCAGCCGTGGCCTGACCTGCAGCGGGTTGAACAGCGACGCCCACAGGCTGAGCTGCTCCTGCCGCGTGGCGCCCACGTACGGCGGCACGAGCGCTGGGATCCCCCCGCCGCCGCCGCCGGGGCCTGCGAACGCGTGCTGCGCGCCGGTGACCGGGAGCCACGGCATCGAAGCTCCGCCCAGAGGGAACACCACCGGCGGGAACCGCAGCCCGCCCGCCAGCGCGCTCGCCGCCGGCACCTGCACCGGCACCGGCATGGACATCGGCAGCCACTTCGCCTCGCCGAGAGCGTCCCCGCCTCCCGGCCACCTGGCGGCCTCAGGCGCCTCCGCCGGTGCCACGTCGAGCACCGCCTCCTCCACCGCGTGCAGGCGCCTCGCTGCGGCCCCGCACCTCCCTTCGTGCGCGGCGACCAGGCAGAGCGCCACTGCGACAAGGACGGCCAGGCGGCAGCGGCCACGTCGTTGGTGGTCCATTGCCGGTTGATGCAAGAGGATGGTTTCTTGGCACGGCGTTCGTCGACGTCGTCGTCGTCGGCGGCGGCGTGGTGCTGCACGGCGGAGGGCATCTCGATCGGTGCCATTTATATCCCAAGCCATGGCCCGCCCATGGGGAGGTTTAGGTAGGGGTTCGTCGGAGACATGCACGATGGACGCGTGCATCCATTCGACGCCACGCCATGGTGCATTGGTGCTCGAGCTTGCTCTCCTACTCGCCTCCTAGCTGCTGCATGCAGTGTTGACCAAGGCTGCTGCTGGACTTGCGGCATGACTTGACGTCTGTTCAGTTAGGCCATGCAATGCCCATGTCATTTCGTTTTTACAGTCTTACTGTCCGAACAACCATCAGTAGAGCAGGTAATTAAGGCCACTTTTCAATTAAGGTCGTATACTCGTATTGATGCAACTTGTAATGCGGGGGTAAACTTAAAACTGCCGCAGGTAAACATACACAACCTAGGCGTGAAAACTCGTGCCGTACACCATTCATTAGCTGAACAGTCGCAACACCTCAACAAGCACTGCGTTATCAGATCAGACACATCACACCAAAATTTGCCGGTTTTGCTGTCAGGATTACATTTTAAGTTGAGAAGAAAACAAAATTGCTGCGATCAGTAGGTTGACCGTCGATTACCGCTGCAAAATGAGCTTGGATTCAGCCGATGTGCTCACGGGCGTGTGATTTCTGTAACTAACCTCAGACGGCACGACCCAGCATCTCTGAAGTACCTTGTGCCTTTGTGGGCATGCATCGATAGCCTTCAGGTCAAAATTTCCTCCTGCATTTCCATTTTGCAACTCGCAAGTATACCATTATATGAAGGGACAGCTCTACGATGGCTCACTCGTTTCCAACTGGTCGCTTCTCCAGCAACGATGACAAGAACGCGGAACACAGTTTTGTGAGAGGCGGAAGAACATGAGACGATCCACTGAATATGGTCTCCCAAGGCCTGTCTGAAGGGATGAATGGAACATCTGAGACCTCTTTCTTTGACTCCAGTTTTTGAAGGTCTCCATAAATAGAAGTGTAGCCGATTGGTGCTGAAACAACAGACAAGAGGTTCAGCGCTTTTATGAAGTAGAAAGGAAATGTGAGAAAATCATTTTTGCACAAGATACAAATCCAAAAAAAAATCCAGCAAACAGCTTCTGAAAAGCACACATATAACAAGCTGACATATTGATACAGCATTACTACTATGTTTTGCTTGTTTACCACAAAATACCATCTGACTAACAGTTGCAAGCAACAAAATAATGCATTCAAGAACAACGCAACAAACCATACAATACTCACCAGGTTCCTCAGCTTGAATTTTCTTGAGCGTGTTCTTGCTAACAACCACCTCCTCTCTCTTCCGGGGATCAAAGATGACGTATTCATGAGAACCATTTACATAAACCAGCAACATTGCTTCTTTGTCTCTTGAACTATCAACATTTGCATCCAAAGAGACGTCACCTTTTACAAAAGAAATGCTGCCACCCGATGCCTGAAAAAAAGTGGCATTAACCAAAGCTGTGTCATTATCATTATGGTCCCTGGTCCATTATGTGCTACCTAATCTAATAATACATGCAGCAAACACAAATTTTATTGGAGAACTAAATGAATAAGCAACTAAACATACTGTGCTATCTAACAATACAAGTACAGACCTGAGAATATTTAAAAATACCAAGAGCAAATTAAGTTCCTTAAGGTACATCTCAATAGAGCAATATCCCCAAACAAGCTGAGATGACAAAATCAATAACTCAGATGGGACATACCTTCTTTACCGACCAGGAGGCAATGGGGTTTGGGCTTTCTGCATCAAAAAGTAGAATTACTCCATCTTGCTCTGTTGATGTTTCTCCATCAGGACAGCTCAGAAGAGAAAGGACTGCAAATTCACTCCCATCTGGCGAACAGCATGCAGCTGTAAAAAGAAAATGCAACTATGAAAATGAGAATGAGATCAAATGTGCTTGGCTGCTTGCTCACTGACTATAAATTAGTTTTCACAACCCCAACTGTCAGACAACAAATACAGAGGACCAGCTCTACCGAGGTAATAACATTCAAATGTACTAGCAGCTTAAATGAGTTACTAGATTGTAATTTGGCAACCTTAGAGGTTGGCCAGATTCATCACGGTGATCATGCATTCATGCTGAAATTGAATTAGACAGGGAAGGGGCAACAACAAATGTATCAGAAATGTCAGGTAATCTTATGTGCCTCTGTTCCTCTGTGAGCTCGAATAAGGAGCATGATCCACATACAAGCATCAGAACTACAAATTGTTTTCTCAATAGGAAAAACATGAAAATGCCTTGTAAAAGAGGCAGGGCCAGAAAGTATTGACTTTTCCTAAACCTACATAGCATAAATTATGCTACTACCATAGTTTGTACCTTCTGCATAAATGCTGTAAGACCATTGCATGGAAAGATTTGAAACATTCCATAGAGCAATCTGGGGTCTTGAACTCTGACATAGAGACATCAAAAACACCGATGTCCCAACGAAAGAAAGATTTGTCACTGGCTGCAGATACAATAAATCACACATCAAACTGCTATTCTAAGGCAGAGGTAAAACATAAAAAATATGTCAAGGAATTATCAGATACCGATAGTGTTTCTGCAATGACACCAACAAGTGCGTTATTATCAGGATCCCACAATGTGATGACATTCTCGGCTGCAACTGCAAGAACAGATCCATCGGCTGAGAAGGCTACTGATGTCATAGGTTTCTTCCTGCAAAATTTTAAACGCTCAAATATCATATGATGGAAGCCTAAATGCTTGTATGACTATTTTAGTGTTTTCTAATCATCAAACATTAACAGGTATTGTTCAAACGTAAACAGATTCACAACTCACTTGTATGAGCCAACTGATTGGCATCTCCAACCAGAATAATTTCTTTCATCACTTGATTGTGAAGGCAAACTCTGGACCCAAACCTACATAACAGAAAGACAAAACTTATGAATTGAGGAAACAGAGCATCCTCTCAAAGGTTACAGCCATGCACACCTTAAAGTTACCACCAAAAGAAGAGCTCACAGCCATATTTCTTCTTGGGCGGAAAGCAACAGAAGAAACCCCAGCATCACTGTATGGAAGATTAAATATAAAGTTAGAACAAATCATACTTTCATTTTGTATCTATCACTTATAAACATGAACCAACCTGTGAGGCTCATAAATGATGGTGGACAAAAAATAACGTCCAGCTCTAGACCCATGATTCCAAAATTTCAGTGTAACAAGACCACCTAATTCTTCTTCAGGAAGCTTGACATCCACAGTGCACATCAAATTGCCATTGATTGACAATGAAACCAAGGAAATATACATCTGTGTCAAAGGGAAAAAATGGAACATGTCAAAAGCTAAGGTTAAATTCTGAATACCAAACAAGAAGAACAAATTATTCAAGCATGGTAACTAGTAGAAATTTATTTTCACTGCAACAGGGCAACCAAAAGTAATTACGGAGTGGTGAAAAATGTTTGGCACATATAAAGAGAGATAAACAAAGAAAATAAAAAAAAAACTATGTCACTAAAAATAAACACGTGAAAAGGAGGCATCTTACCGTGATATCATCATTAGGCTGAAAATTCCTCTCACATACTTGCATCTGAAAAGATTAACAATGTTAGGGTTGGTTTCAGTAAAAATGTCCATCATGTGAAACAACCACCAACTGACATACTGCCCAAAGGAGGATGGAGTAAACATGAGAACTTAATTCTCTTACCTCTGAAACCTCAGCGTTCTCAAACAAATTGTAGAACTGTATGCAGTAATCTTCTGTTGGTATAGCAACAAGTCTATTAGTATAATCAAATCCATACACAGCCCGATCAGCTCCAACCAAGTTCGGGGAAGCAATTGGCAGCTAAAGAGAAAAATACAGGAAAAGATCACCACAGGATCATGACCATACAATAACAGAAACAATAAAATAACATTGCATAATTATTCTTATTGTTTTTGTGTGTGTGTGTAATAATGGGGGGCTGCTTATATATTACAAACCTTTATTCCAGCAATAGATCTCATGACCTCCATATTAGGCATTCTTAGAAGGTAGACTTGATTATTTGTACACGACACCTGAAATACAAACAACAGCTAACATTCACACAACGGGCAAGAAAATCAAACAGACCATATCAAAGATGCAGCTTGCAACAGTCACGACTCATGAGTAACTTAGCCAGTCCTAAGTCAGACAAAATTCATGAATCTAGGACAATTACATATGAAAGTAGGGCCATATCTTACTTCTCTGCCAGCTCTAATAAAAACTATTTAACCAGTTCTTTATACTAAGGCATACCTGCATATCTTTAGTGATGTAAACCATAGTTAAATTTCACAGCACAAGCAGGCATTCGCTCAACAATCTAGAAGCTCTCAATATGCTTGCATAGGATACTCACACAAATAACTTAGTTTTTTCTTGTATGACGAAGCAAGCAGGAAACATACTTAAATCAGTAATTACTTGCATATTCGTGTACCAAAGGAAAATAAGGGGTAACAAAAGGTCATTTCAACTATTAATCTTCAATATAGAAAATTGTCTAGTGACCAAAGCATAGACACAGGTTTTAGTAGAATATTATTTCAAGCAAATTCAGGGGGGGAAATTATGGAGGGAACTTGAATTTATTTATCTAAACTATAATGAATAAGAAAAAGTAGTAGTAACAGCATGAGATCCATGAATGACTGCATATAACAAACTTGTTAATGTATATCTCTCTACTCTAGACTTGGACATCTGGTGGTCTTAGTTTTGAACTATTATTTTGATTCTAATCGATTAGTGACAACATCTGCACAAGGCTGGAATATTAATTAAGCACTAAACTCATGTGGCATGATGGTATACAGTTACCAAAAACTACATAAATGAACAATAAGGCATTGGGTTCTTGTAGAGCACAACACAGGATAGTTTAAGTGAGAGAGAGAGAGAGACAAGAAGGATACTTACACAGGAAATGGAAGAATCTGGAGAATCTACAAAGAACAAAAGAGGAGACCCCAGACGTGGTTTATACCTTCTCTTTCCAGTATCTAGTTGCCACACAACAATAACTCCCTCCAAACCACCTAAAATAGAAAAATTGTCATTGAGAAGTACAGGTCTTCCAGGAAAAAAAGTGAGTTAAATTGATGTACACAGAAGGTAAATGAATCAGTAAGCCAAACCTGAGAATAAGTATGCTCCGTCAGAAGAAAATTTGAGAAACTTCACACTGCTTGAATGCCAATGCCATGTCGTGCAAGTATCTGCATCATCATCACCCCTAACACCATCCCTTCCTTCATCCTCTTTCGATTTTACACTACTTTCAGAGAACTTTGAATTTCCAAAACATCTCCAAATCAAGATCCGCCCTGTTACGTCACCACCAGCCACAGTTCTTTCGGTTGGATGGAAAGCCAGAGTGGTCAAGTGTTTGGTGTGCCGGAGCTTTATCTTCCTCATCTTATCAGGCTTGAAATCTTTCGTTGGTACGCTCCATATATGGAGCTTTCTTTTATTTGTAATGCCCAAGAATTCTCCAGAGCTACTTGCAACGATCTTTTCTGGTTTACGTGTCTGTTTAGATCAGAGCAAATAGTGCAGGGATGTAAGTTGGAACACTAAAAATGGTAATCAACATTAACACATTTTCAACAGAATTATGTACTTTCTAATTGAAAACTTTATTATATTCGATTCAAATACCAAGACTATCAGCAATTTCATGTATATTCAACATACTATTTCTAGCATAACTGTCAATTTAAAGTACATTAAATACCAAGATTAATTATGTGGAAAATTGTCAGATATTTAACAGTGAAGAAAACGTATATAAAAATTAAAAACCTCACCTCAGCCAGGAGACCACCCACTTGACGCCCCTTAGTCAGATCATAAATTCTCATCTGCCCACGCAACGCTTTTGCTTCACTTGCCGGCTTACTCGTATCTTCCACAGAGATGAATGCAAAGGGAGTCGACACCTCAGCTCCTTTTGAGGTCCGACATATGTTAGGAACCACCTGCACTCACAGAATCAAAGCACAAGCACGCACATTGGCACATTTAATATCGAATTCTCTCAGCTCAACGCATAAATAAATATCAATAATAACCAGAGCAACAAAATTGAGGAAGCAACAGTTGAGCTTACCATGGAGTGGACGGGGAGCCCGACCTGGACCTTCCGCACCACCTCCGCGGCCATGAAGTCCCAGTAGATGAGCACCCCGTCGAGCCCCGCCGTCCAGCAGTAGCTCGCGAGCTTGGCCGCCGCGGTGGCCTGCGCTGGCGGCGCCACCACCACCACGGCGGTGACGTCCCCCTCGTGCCCCTCCAGCTCCGACACCTGCGACACACCAAAACACCCCCACAACAGTCACAATCCCGCACCCCCACCAATTCGTTCAGCGGAGACGGCGCACGGCGGCGCGCGGGGCGGGCGGGGCTTACCAGCATGGCGGTGGCGGTGCTGAAGACGGAGACGGCGCGGCCGGAGCAGACGAGGAGGAGGCGCCCGTCGGCCGAGAAGGCCGGCGGCGCGGAGACGTAGCTCTGGCCGCCGGTGATCATGGCGGCGGCGGCGAGGAGGCGCTAGGGTTTTTGGGGTCCAAGTCCGAGTGGGAATGGAATGGGGGAGGGAGACGGCGCTGGCTAGACGGGTAGGGCTTTGGGCCTTGGTTTGCAAAGCCGAAGCGGCAAGGCACTAAACGGTTTAACGGGTCCAGACCCGCTTCAAGTTTGGGCTGTAGGAGATGAATTGGGCCGGGCCGAGCCGAGCTTGTTTGTCGCTGCCGATGGGCCTATCCGTTTGGGCTGTACGATAAAAGATTGGGCCGAGCCGAGCTCGTATGTCGCTGCCGATGGGCCTGTCCGTTTGGGCTGTACGATATAGATTGGGCCGAGCCGAGCTCGTATGTCGCTTTCGATGGGCCGGTCCGGATTAGGGTAGCTTGCAAGAATGACGTCCAGTGCTCACAGAGCGGTGTCACTGTCGATGGAGCTCACAACTCACAACAAAACGTGATGGACCTGCAGCAGGTTGCGTACATGAGACATTTGGCCGGGTAGCAGCTACAGGGTGAATGGCTTCAAGATCCTTGGATCATATTATAAACTAAAAGGAGCAACAATGATGCGGGAAAAAATGACATTAACACTGAAGAAGTAATGTGGACAGTTAATTTTTTGTTCCATGAATAAAACTTAAAAGAACAATCATAAACTCCTTGCTTCTGGAGATGGTCTCATGATTTTGACTTGAAGATAAGCCAGAACAAAATTGCCTTCAAGTGGACACAGGACAGACCATGGGAAAATTTAAATTTTGCTAGTCATCCAATTACTGAGAGTCATATGAAACAGGCTCAGGATATTTAGTACTGAAACATCATTGATCTCACTACTAGTTGCTTGACGCGACAAAATAGAAACATACTGCAATAAACAGGGGACAAATTTTGTTTTAGGTGCTGCAAAAAAAAATGCAGTCTCAATTCCCCAATTTCAGTTTAACCTGATCGATTTTGAACACTGTTTTGCACAATCATATGAATTCTGGAGAGATTGTGGTAAGTGGACTCAATATTGTAAATTAATGGCTTCAACTGACTACTAGTACTGTTACTGATATAGTGGAAACTCATGGCAAAATTGAAATTTTATTTTCCTTGTATGCTAAGACTAGGTGAAAATTGAGATGCTGCATGAGCAGAGAAAAAAAAGGAAATATAATGTACCATTAAAATTAATTTCAGCTCTGCAAAATCTCCAATCAGTTCGCTAGAAAAAGAAGTCATAGCACTGGCACCTCAATTCAGAATGAAACTTATCAATCCTAGCAGAAAAGAGAGATTCAGGACTTATCACTGAACGTATGAATTAAAGATTCAGGACTCATCACTGAAAATGGACAAAGGAGATCCTGGAGCAAATATATAGGGAGCTCCATGAAAAGCAGTTAATCCACACAGTCAGTAACCACCCCCATCACCACTCACTCTCTCAGTCTGCTCAAAAGATCATGCTGTAAAACTGAAATATGGAAATACCTTGCAGAAGCTAAGTCAATCTTGTCAATCATGACTGCAGTTTGATACTAGTACTGATACTGCTATACTGGGAAATTATTGGAAAATATAGAGCTCATTTTCCTCGTATGCGAAGATAAAGGTGTCAGTTTCATCAACGGTGCTACATTATTAAAAATAGTTCCATTGTCACAGGCAAGAGGTTTGATATCCTCACAGTTACGTTAGTAGCAATGGGAGATGATAAAAGGAGACTAGGAGATATCCTAGCTAAGGGATGCAGTTCATGACCTTGACCGTTCCAGTTCGATGGAGGGCTCGATATCCAGTCAGCCATTTTCTAAATTTGACTCCGCAAATAGGTAACATAAAAAAGGTACCGGTTAACATTAAGTAGGCAGTCAGTTTGGTCCTAGAACTAGAACTACCATCAAAGATCAAAGTTCAAACCAAAACACACCATGAAAATGTGAACTGAATTAGATTTCAATAAGGGTGTACCCAGTGCAGAGAGCTCCCGCTCTGTGCGGAGTCTAGGGAAGGGTGTTAGTGAAGCCTTACCCTCGCCTGTGTAATGCAAGAAGACCGCGACTCGAACCCGGGACCTTCCGGTCACAGGCGGTAAGACTCTACCGCTTGCACCAGGCCCGCCCTTCCGAAAATGTGAACTGAATTAGATTTCAATACAATAGAATTAATTCAGAGCAAGACACCATTTCCAGTCACCACCCATTCCCTCAGTCAACCCCCCAAACTCTCGCGAGGAATAAAAAACACCGCTCATAATCAGAAAACCAAAACACTAATACTCCCAATCCACCACTCCGTCGTGAAAATGCTGCACATATTGGAGGAAAACTCATGCTGGAATCGATGATTCAAAAGCAGTTTGCATACCTTCTCGACCTCTGCTGCTTGGCAAAATCCACCACCACTTTTTGCGTCAAAAAATCCACCACCACCGGTCGAGATGGGAAACGAGATCAAGACGGGAGCGGAATCATGGCAGCCACACACAATTACTTACACAGTTACACATGTGGATCTTGACCAGATAAACCCCACCCCGGGCATCAGTTCCCAGCATGGACCAAAAGTAAAGAAAAAACAGAGTACAGCACATAATTCAGCCCACAAACAAAAATGAGCAAACCAAAAGAAAAATAATAGCACAATCTTAAAGTAACCCGGACCACAAAAGTCTAGGTGAAAAAGAGTAAGAATAATAGCCACTATAAGTTAGAAATTCCCTTTTCATTACAAAACCCTGCTGTGCCCACTCTTCACCTACGCTATGTGATTTCCTCATTGGCAGGGCATGAGATTAAAAGGTGAGTCTGATTCAGACAACAGCCCTAAATTTTGTACCAATGCACTATGAGTGAAAACCTGCACTGGCATCACTGAACCAAATCATTGGACTAGACGGCCTATGTTGATCCAGCTAAACCAGGTGGCTTATTTGCTCCCTTCTCTTTGATTGAAGCCCTAGCCTTTTCAGCTTCATCCCACTTACCTGCTTCTGCACTGATGTTTGACAGCAGCACATAATTTGAGGCCTTGCAAGGTTCCAATTCAGACAACTTCTCAGCAGCCAGCCGTGCAAGCTCATGGTTCTTGTGCATCTGGCATGCTCCAAGCAATGCACCCCAGACGCCGGCATTTGGTTGGATCTGCATTCCTTGCACAAGTTCAAATGCCTCATTCAGTTTCCCAGCTCTTCCAAGCAAGTCTGCCATGCAAGCATAGTGCTCAGCGATTGGCTTCAGTGAGTACTCTTTTGTCACTGAGTAGAAAAAACCCAATCCTTCATCGATCAATCCGGCATGACTGCAAGCTGACAAGATACCAACAAATGTGACTTCATCAGGTCTCACACCATTGGCTTCCATTTCCCGGAAGACTGAGATTGCTTCAGTCCCTTGACCGTTAGAAGCATAGCCATCAATCAATGCATTCCATGAAACAATATCCTTGCCTACCATCTCATCAAAGATTTGCTTTGCTTCCAATATCCTCCCACACTTCGCATATGTGGAAATCAAGGCATTTCCAGCAAATGAATCGTTGATATGCCCACTCCTAACAAGAAGACTGTGGAGTTGCCTCCCGACATGGAAAGCAACCAGGTTTGCACATGCTCTGAGACAGCTTGCATAAGTAGACCAGTCAGCCCTATATGTGCCCCTTCTCATGAGCATGAAATGATGGAGTGCATCAACAAAGAGCCCATTCTGAACAAATCCAGAGATAACTGAATTCCAAGATACTGTATTTCTCCTGCTCATCCTCCTGAAAATACCGATTGCCTTGCTCATTTGGCCACCCTGAGCATAGCCAGCAATCATGGTGTTCCAGGAAACCGCATCCTTATTCGGCATTCGCTGGAATAACAACATCGCCTCTTCAAGCATTCCACATTGGACATAACCAGAAATCATGGTATTCCAGCATACTGTATCACACACCTCCATTCCATCAAAAATTCGAATAGCATCATCAACCATGTTGCGCTGTAAATACCCATGCATCAGCGCAGTCTTTGCTGCCACACAGTTGAAGGACATCTTGTCGAGAAGATCCTTCGCTTCTTGGAGTTTCCCAGCACGTGCCAATCCGCTTATTATTGTTGTCCATGAGATCGAGTTCTTACCTGGCATCTCATCGAACAGCTTACAGGCCTCCTCTAGGTGCGAGAGCCGCACATACCCATCAAGCATCACGTTCCAAGCCACAGCATTTCGCTCAGGCATTCTGTCGAACAGGTCTCTAGCATCACCAATCCTCCCCGCCCGGCAATACCCATTGAGCAAGGTCACCCAAGAGATGACATTAGGTGATTCAATCTTTGCAAAGAAGCCAGAGGCCGCATCCAAATCTCCAGCTCGCACAAAACCCTCCAGCATCAAATTCCAGGACACCATGTCCTTCTCCACCATCTCGTCGAAGAATTGCAGTGCCCGTACCATTTCCCCACTCTGAGTAAGCCCCGCCAGCGCCGAGTTCCATGAAACAAGGTCCGGGGCCGGCATCTCCCGCAGCAGCTTCACCGCATGGTCGAACCTGCCGTTCTTGGCGTACCCGGAGATCATGGCGTTGTAGCACGGCGTGCACTTGTCGCCAGGCATTCGGTCCAGCACGTCCCGGGCAAGCTCGAGCTCCCCCGCGCGTGCGTAGCAGGAGACCATCACCGTCCACGAGAAGTCGTCCCGGCCAGGCATCCTGTCGAACAGGCTCCGGGCGTCCGCGACGCGGCCGTGGTCCGAGAGTGCCGCGATCATCGCGTTCCAGGAGACGGCGTTCCTGCTGGGCATCCCGTCGAAGAGGGCCCGGGCCTCGTCGATCCGCCCGTGGCGCGCGAGCGCGGAGAGCATGGCGTTGTAGGTGACGGTGTTGCGGCGGGGCATGGAGTCGAACAGGCGGCGCGCCGCCGCCAGCTGGCCCGACCGCGCGAGGCGGGTGAGCTCCTGGTTGCTACGGAACACTGCGGAGGCTGCCGCCGCCGCGGTGACCTTGGCCGCTCCCGCGGCGGCCATGGGCGGGGAGCGAGCGCCGGCCGGCGTCAGCCGCTCGATCGGACGCACTGGGCGCGTGTGGCAGACTGGCAGTACCGGAAACTGGAAGGAAAATGTGATCTACTACTTGGAAACTGGAATGGACTGGGCTTACTCTTTGGAGGCATGGCCCATGTGCCATGTAGAAAGTGTTGGCGTGTGTTGGGGTTTTATGCGGGCAGAAGCGATAGGATTTCCTGAATATTTTATATGTTTTTTTTCCATAAAATATATATATATATATTTTATTTATTTAAATTCATTTTCTGCAAAAAATAGTTGTTAGAACCAAAAAGGTTATAGAATTATATATATTCTATTGCCAATTGATTTGGTGATATTGTAAACTAATTTTAAGAGTTCTAAATTACAAAAGTCATTTAAGGACTAATAACAAGCTATCATTACATGCATTTACTATGTGCTTGACCTATTGTTTCATATGACCAGCAAGCTTAAAGTAACACCCAATTCATTGACTCAAAGGTAAAGACGATGCTCATGCCATGTTTATGCGGTAATTGTTGGCTTAACACTAAGGGTGCTACACTCGGCCCTAGGGGGGGACGACTTGGAGCGCTCCCACGAGCTTAGCACCGAGGGTGTGAAGCGAAGAACCAAGATCATGATGGCTATGGACGCAGGTTCTAAATAATTTGATGAAACAACTTTCCACCCTACATAAGTAGTTTGTACGTAAGTTCGTACTATAGTTTCAATACAAATTGACCTGTCATGAAAAATAGGTTTAAATATATCAAATATGGGTCTTGTTTTGTATATCTTGTTGCAAAGAACATAATGATATAAATGGATTTGAAAACGGACGCTTGATAAGAGAGTTATGCCCATTTATTAAAGAAAATTAACCCATTTTAATTGATGACATACATCATCGTGTTGAAAGCGTCTGCTTCAGATCACCTGCGCGTTGCTCTCGGGACACGTGTCGTTGACTTGTTGTACACATCATGGCCAGGTGCGTCACCTCGCTGCTTTCCTTTTTTCTGTCCACACGCCATTGGTTTTGAGACAGGAGCAGGGTCGCGCGGTGTACCAAATTGCCAATGCCATAACGTTAACTACTGTTGTCAGAACAAGGGCTTCATTCATTGGGCTTATTGGATTTTTTTATGCCTCGATACTTCAAGAACTATAGTGTCTAAACTTTAACATAAATTCACATTACACACCAAACACACACACACCATATAGTATAAGCTAGACCTACATCTATACTGATAGGAGTTTAGGCATATAAATGTTAAAATTAATCCACAAAAATAATAGCAAATTTATGATGACAGATATGTGCAGGCGTGTGATTTTACTACTGCTCAGATTAGCAGCAAATATGTTCATGAACAATATACATAGCAAAAAGAGATTGAATTTAACCATTTTAAGAATGGAGATTTACCATGCGGAAGGACCCATGCTCAAGGCACCGGTGGCTCCAGTCCCACTCATGGTGAGTTGCTCGAAGCCGCGGACCACAGTCGGTGTAGAAAGATATACGTAGTGCCATCCCTCGAACGTCCACCGGGAAGTAGACGAAGCCGAGGCACCACGTTTCGATGATGAAGAAGAAGATAGCGAGCAGTCGCGGAGACGCTCCCCAAAAACCTGATCGCCCGCACACACCCGAGCAGGTGTCCCGATGCGAACGCCGGTTCCAGAGGCATGCTCTCCCACACTCCGTGCGTGCAGAGGATGCGACGAGCAGTGGAACAAGCTCGGGGGTTGGGCGCGGTAGGTGAATCGAAAGGTGAGGCGGGCGCCACGTTGGCCGAGCCACGACCACCGCAACCCAAGCTTACCCTACGCGTGGCATCGCGGCCAGACACCCGAGCACGACGCACACATAGCAGCGGGAGCCAGGCCACAGCCAGCTGGGACCGGCCAACGCCAAGCCGTAGACGTTGCGCGGCATCACCCGGGCGTGCGAGTTGGCCAGCGGCAGCAGCCCGACCACAGCTTGAGCCCGACGCCAGCAGCGCCCACGCTTGCGGTGACCGTGAACTCAGGGCGAGAGGTAGCAACTGGTGATGTGCACGTATTTTAAAGCGAAGCAAAAGCTGCTAATGATCATGATCGAGGTTCAACTAATTCCCCTAATCTAAAGCCGATACTAACACCCAACTAGCGAAGCAAACCTCACGTCCAGAGAGCAGCCAGAGAGGAAGAAAGGGAGGTGCCAATATGAGTTCATCACGCTGAACCCCGGTTCACGAACCGAGCACCAAATCATGGTTCATAGCGCGTTCTATAGAGGTTTGGGCAATTTTTACGAGAGCAACGTGACATCCAACACAACTTCGATCTACAACATGCTCAAGTGCCTACTTAGAAGCAACCAACGGTACAAAAACATGGATCCAGTGTTTAAACATTTTAGTTAGAATTTAAATGTCAAGATAGCATTGTCTTACTACTTTTCCCATACTTAGAAAAGTTAAGGTTCAATTCGAACTAATATCCATTAACACTTTTGTTACAAATTTTAAAAGACCGAAACCCTATTAACTCCAACTCATAAGTATTTCATGCACTGGTCCACACTTCATATTAACCCATAGGAACAAAATATTTAAGCATTAATTAATTATTTTGCCCACAATAAAATCGCCAAAAATAGTATTTTAAACGTAAGTTCGAGCGTTCGTCGTCTTAACAAAAAGCGCTCATCTTAACTTTAAATTTAATTTTTGAGCTCCCAAGAGCACTAGTTAACAACATTTGTTTTCACAAATTAAAGTTGCATCTTCAACTACACCACTTGCTCGTCATCTTTACTTAAGTATTATACACAAGTTATATTTTATTTTTGTTTATATAAATTGTTTTTCGTGCCAAACAATTAAAACGACTTATCCCATGTTTCTCGTTAGGATTTTCATTAGCACTTTTACGTACCAAGTGAGTTAACTTGGATATTTATTTGAGTCCACAAAAGTGAGTCACATAGGATTGTCTTATCATTTCACGTGCATTATAAATTTCTAAAACCTAAAAACTTGTTTGGCTAATCATTTTTACCTAAATCTCGGTGTTAAGCAAGCTGGTAACACCAGGGGTGCTACACACAGATTTATCAAAACTTATATAATTTATTAGTTTAAACCCCTAGACCTATGTTGGTAATCCTTTTTATGCATTTATATAAGTTATATTGGCGATTTGTGATGAACATTAACTACCGTCAACAGTTATCGGCTGCTAAGAACTTTTGCTCCTCCTCGGGAGTAAATTATTCAGGCTTTCCCTGTGCGACGTGATAGCAGTTCATAATAGTTAACCACGACACCATCTTAGCACACCATATCTTGTAATTTGTTCCATCAAAATCATTTAGCTTCGAAGCAGCAGCAAAACCACTAACAGAAAATTGCCTAACATCAGGTTTTTGTATCGTTAAGAATTTAGGCATATTCATGTTAAAATTAATCCAAAAAAATAATAGCAAATTTGTGATGATAGATATGTGCACATGTGTGATTTTACTACTACTCAGATTAGCAGCAAATATGTTCATGAACAACATACATAGCAAAAAAAAATTGAATTTAACCAATTTGAGAATGGAGATGTGCCCTGCGGAGAGACCCATGATCAAGGCATCAGTGGCTCCAGTCCCACTCATGGTGAGTTGCTCGAAGTCGCGGACCACAGTTGATGCAGGAAGATGTACGCAATGCCGTCCCACGAACGTCCACCGGGAAGTAGACGAAGCCGAGGCACCACGTTCTGATGAAGAAGAAGACGGCGAGCAGTCGTGGAGACGCTCCCCAAAAACCTGATCGCCCGTACACATCCGAGCAGGTGTCCCGATGCGAACGCCGATTCTGAAGACCTGCTCTCCCACACTCTGTGCGCGCAAAGGATGGGACGGGGAGTAGTCGGATGGAACTCGACAGGAGGAAGGTGTGGTATGGCCGGAAGGCAATAGGGAGACAAGAAGGAAGGTTATACCGGAGGGATAAGTGAGACGAAGAGTCGAAGTGATTACGAGTAATCACCACCGCAGTGGATGGTAACTGACCTGTAACTCCTCCACATTAGCGCCTGTACCCCTTCCTCTTCCTTTGCCAACCCAAGTGGCAAAACCAACCCACACCCGTACACGACACGCAACGCACGGCACGCCATGCCTCGGCTCGGCTCGGCTCGGCGGCGGTGACGTGCGCCCGCGTGTGGCACGCCTTTGGTCTCTTTCAACTTCTCTATAGGTGCACACGTGTGTAGCCTATTTAAATTAAGTCATTAATCAGTCAAAATCACATACGGGACTAAAACTATATTGTACCACAATATTTAATATGGGTCTAGAATTAATTGATTTATTAAATAAAATATGGGCCTAAACCCATATAATATTCAACATATACCCAAAGACAAACACGACTAGGAGTTACTTGAAGATCATCCGACTTTAAACATAATAGACACCACACTTTGATCATTGCAAAACATCCGCATTTGAGGCCGCAACTCGAAGTTACAAGGAAAATGGGAGGAAAACCTTGGTGCGAAATCTACACCGAGCAGGGATAACACAGGTCACCAGCGCTCCACTGAGCACATCTAACCACCGAGCTAACAACTTGTTCGAAGCTTGCTGGATTATTTATTAAGAGAGAAAAAACTTGATACTCATAGTTCTCTAATTAAACCAATAAACTTGTTTTTTTTTCACGATCGGATCTTGTACCCGTTTTTCATTAAGAGGAAAGGCTAAAATAAAGGTCTGAATACGGATACAAATGACTCACAAGTAATCCTAAGATTACCGGTGGAATCCCCAAAACACAAACAAACAGCAAGAATACACAGGGGGTGGGGGTGAACCTCCACCTCCAAAACACCTACGAACTATGCCCGCAAAAGAGAAAGACATCTGGCGCAATGGTCGCCAACCGGGGTTCAAGCCGTGGTGGCAAAGCATCCACTGGTAGATTCGCAAAGCGACCAGGTAGCCACTG